GCTCAGATTGAGGAATCGGAGAGCCGAGTTCGAATTCCAGTTGAATCCATTACATTCACTTACGTGTTAATACCCTTGGAAAAGATATGAATCCTCTTCTTCTCCCCTATAGGGAAATAGCAGGACAGGCGGAGTTCTATAATCTTGGATGGCAAATGGTCTACCGCCGAATGAAATGGCTACCTACGGAGAGAAAAAATCTACCGCGTCAGTATATCAAAAGATACATGATCGCCTAACCGTGTATCACGCATGGCCCATAACTGATTAATTTACCAGAGATATCCCACTGCGTTATATTGTGACACAAGGGTTAGGTTGGGATACAAGGTCTGTTATTTAACGTAGGGAACCCGGGCGCGAACACTCGGGCCACTGGACAAAATTTACCTAGCCCCCGCTTACGCGGGATTGGACACAAAGCTTGTCTTAGCAGGGCATAGCTGGTAAATGCCACGGAACAGATACTACAATATGATCATCGTCTCTGGACCGCGGAACACTGAAATGTATAATTACTCTCTAATTTTACAGATAAAGTTGATCTCCAAGTTTAACGTGATGAAATCGATCATATATGAAAATAACGTGTTCATCTTTAATTAATCATGGCTAAGGATCAGAAATTCATGAAGGATTGAAATTAAGTTCAAATATATATATATATATATATATATATATATATATATATATATATATATATATATAATAAAAAACTTAAACACTAATATTCCATGGTCATAATTTATTCCATTGGAATCGTAAATACGATCCAAATCATCAGACCTACAAATTCAAAATGAAAACAGAAAAAACAACTCCGGAAATCAAAACAGAATTTAGAGAAAGTGTAAGTATGAGGATGAGTGACAGAGAGAATTTTTTGGAGATGTGGTGGGGTGGATTTAAAAGGGGAGAGAAAAGAAAGTCGACGGATGTCTAATACATAAAGATACATTTCGTGGTGACATATACACACCACAGACAATTCGGATAGGAAGGGAAAAAAAAAAAAAAAAAAAAAAAAAAAGGGGGGGGGGACGAAGGAAAATAAAAATTGTGTTTACTTAAAATTTAAAATCAAATATAAATATATGAAGATGAATATAACGATTGTCTCATTTCGCAAGGACCAAATATTTCTATGTTCAAAAAACACATACTAATACACACACAAAAAAAAAAAAAAAAAAAAATATACAAGTAGGTACATACACTTAGGCATGTACACACACACACACACAGACATACGTGTACATGCACATACATACACACATACATACACATATACATACATATATATATATATATATATATATATATATATATATATATATACATATATATATATATACATACATACACATACACAACATACATATATATATATATATATATACAAACACCTAAAATATATTCACATATCCACACATACACATATTCATCTATATTCATATACACACACTTTTCACATACATATACACGCATACATATATATATGTATACATTCATACATACATACATACTTATACATACACATACACATACATATACATACATACACACATACATATATATATATATATATACATATATACATATACATACATATATATATATATATATACACATATACATATATCCACGCATCCACACACACATACACATACACACATACATACATATATACACACATATATACATACATACACACATACACACATATACACACACATACACACATATACATACATACATATACATGCAAATACATACACACCCTTACATATGTATATATATACACACATGCAAATACATACATACACACTTATACATGTATATATATACACCATGCAAATATACATACATACAAAAAAAATACACATGTATATATACATACATACACACATACACATACACACACACATAAACATGTACACACATAAGTACACACATACACACCCTAAATATACATACATATGACATAAACAAAAAATTCCATACGTATCTACATATCTACATACATACATACACATACATACACATACATACACATACATATACATACATCACATACAACGTGTACACACATAATAGTCGATACAAAATATATATATATATATAATTTGAAACCTTTCTTATGTCTAAATCACCTCATTCAAACATCTCGTTTTTGCTTTGACAAAAAATTTTTTAAATAGATATCGATCGAAATATATACATTTATCTAGACATAGTTTCTTTTTTCTGAAATTAATTGATAAACATTTCCACAGTAAAGCATATGTATATATAGACCACTACGTAAAAATTTTTCAATAAAAATTGGACAATGGTCTCTACAAAATTAGTTATTCTCGTTTACTAATGTTCTTCCGTTATTTACCACCGTTCTCTATATTTCTAAATTTTACGAAAATCAATATTCATAAAGATTCAGCAGCTCCTGAAGATTTTTAATTGCAGAATACTTAGAAAATAACTACCACGGTAATGGAACTCAATGACTAGTAACCCTACCTGCAATTGTAGGAATAAAGACCATTGTCCAATCGGGGGTAAATGCAAATCTGAAAATGTAGTATACGAGGCAACTATCTTTCCCGGAAGGAAATATAAACGAAAAAAAAGATACATAACGGTATATCCGCCGGTTATTTTAGCGTCTAGAAAGATCAATACTTGCATACAATCTATATAACCATAGACCCTCATTTAGATATAGATTGTCCAATCGGGGTAAATCAGTATACGACAACTATCTTTCCTAGGGGAATTAAACTTAAAGATACAAACATCTACTGGGAACTGGTGGATATAACCATAGACGCTCTTTTCCTTAAACCCAATTTTGAAATGGAGATTCCTTTTGATTCTAGAGCCAGAACACCTAATAACTTCCGCGATCGGTGTGATCTATGCATGGCGGAAAAATCTTCATTATCAAAGATAAAAAAATCGAGATGAGCTGCTGAATCTTCGGAATGAGGTATTCTCTAAATGTAGACATAAGAAAGGTTTCAAAACTTGAACACCGTTGTGTAACATGTTGTCACTTATGTCATGCATCTCGTCCTATAACATCGGGCATGACATTTTAATTGTATGACTATTATGTTTATCTCTAAATGTACCTTTGTACACGTTTATGTGATGCGCTATGTATTTATATATATATATGTTTGTGTATGTGTGTGCATGTATGTATATGTATGTATATGTATGTGTATGTATGTGCATGTATGTGTATGTAGATATATATATGTATATATATATGTATATATATATATAAATTTTTTTTTTTTTTTTTCATACACGCGCAAATATTTGAATCGTCACTTATTTAGATTTTAACTTTTTATATATATGTACATATGTGTATATCTCTGTGTGTATTTATATGTATGTATGAGTATGTGTATATGTGTGTATATTTGTATGTATATGTATGTATGTGTATATATGTGTGTATGTATGTAAGTGTATATATATACGTATGGAGGTGTTTATGTTATGTATGTATATGTATAGGTGTGTATGTGTACTTATGTGTATACATGTTTATGTGTGTGTGTGTATGTGTGTGTATGTGTATATATACATGTGTGTAAGGGTGTGTATGTATTTGCATGTGTATATATATACATGTATAAGGGTGTGTATGTATTTGCATGTGTGTATATATATACATATGTAAGGGTGTGTATGTATTTGCATGTGTATATGTATGTGTATATGTGTGTATGTGTGTGTATATGTATGTATGTGTGTATATATGTATGTATGTGTGTATATGTATGTGTGTGTGTGTATGTGTGTGGATGTATATATATGTGTGTATATATATATATATATATATGTATGTATATGTATATATGTATATATATATATATATATGTGTGTATGTATGTATATGTATGTATATGTATGTGTATGTATAAACATGTATGTATGTATGAATGTATACATGGGGCATATGTATGCGTGTATATGTATGTGAAAAGTGTGTGTATATGAATATAGATGAATATGTGTATGTGTGGATATGTGAATATATTTTTAGGTGTTTGTATATATATATATATATATATGTATGTTTGTGTATGTGTATGTATGTGTATATATATATATATATATATATATATATATATATATATATGTATATGTGTATGTATATGTGTGTATGTGTGTATGTATGTGCATGTACACATATGTCTGGGTGTGTGTGTGTGTGTACATGCCTAAGTGTATGTACCTACTTGTATAGGTTTTTTTTTTTTTTTTTTTTTTTGTGTGTATTAGTATGTGTTTTTGAACATAGAAATATTTGGTCCTTGCGAAATGAGACAATCGTTATATTCATCTTCATATAATTATATTTGATTTTAAATTTTAAGTAAACACAATTTTTATTTTCCTTCGTCCCATCCCTCTCCCCACCCCATTCCCCCCCTTTTTTTTTTTTTTTTTTTTTTTCCTTCCTATCCGAATTGTCTGTGGTGTGTATATGTCACCACGAAATGTATCTTTATGTATTAGACATCCGTCGACTTTCTTTCTCTCCCCTTTTAAATCCACCCCACCACATCTCCAAAAATTCTCTCTGTCACTCATCCTCATACTTACACTTTCTCTAAATTCTGTTTTGATTTCCGGAGTTGTTTTTTCTGTTTTCATTTTGAATTTGTAGGTCTGATGATTTGGATCATATTTACGATTCCAATGGAATAAATTATGACCATGGAATATTAGTGTTTAAGCCTTTTTATTATATCCTTACTCTGTCTTAGACATTGAGTTCTACCTGGATCCTTCCTCTTGAAAAATTTTTTTCTGAAAATATACATGTATGGGAATTTTTAGATATATTTTCATATGTATGTATATTTTCCACTAATATTATCAATATATATATATATATATATATATATATATATATATATATATATATATATATATATATATATATATATTATTCCAGGATCATTTTCCAACTTATTCAAGATGTCCACCATCTAAGTACTGACCTGGCTCTACGATGCTTAACTTCGGTGATCGAACAAGAACCGGTGTTTTCAGCGTGATTTGACCTTAGGAGGCACGGTGGAGTAATGGATAGTGGTTTGGAGAGCCGATTTCGAATTCCAGTCGAATTCCTTAAATTCACTTACGTGCTAGTACCCTTGAGAATCCTCTTCTTCTCCCTCCAGCTATGGGTAAATAGCAGGATAAACTGGGTTCTTTAGCCTCGGATGGCAACTGATCTAGGAGAAGGAAAACTCTGAATTCAAAACCTGCGGAAGGTCGTTTGGGGACCTTGTGGCACATAGTACACTAGGTCTCTGTATTCGGCCCTTCAAAAAGTGTGGATGGTCCTGCACGAAACCTTCACCACTATAATCAAATCTCATGTGCTATACATGCGGGTTTATCCAAATTCCCATGAAACTTCAATATTGGAGATGGCTCAACCCACCTCGGGTGAATGCCGTTGCAGGTACAGGGGGGGTATTCAAGATGATCTTCGCCCTCTCTAGCCTTTTAACTTTCTGGCAGGCAGTAACAAATTGCCTCACAGATTTCACGTACTATTTCATTTTGAAGTCATTTTTCACTACTTTTTGGACTGTCATGACTGAATTTCCTCTCTCTCATTTGCCATATTTGCTTTATAAATTGAGCTGAATCTTTTCTAATTGATCTCTTTAGCTCTAAGCTGAAATTAGAACCCCTCTTTCTGTTGCGACCTCCTGATCCTGTTTTCCTCGATACTATTCACACTTTTTCAATATATTCGCCGTTCTCTTGATGGTTTTTCAATGGAATTTGAACATAGGAGCCAGATTATGAATGTTGGTACCATTACTGAAGGCCTGAATGATCTGAGGGGCTGACACAAAACGATTTTAATGTGTTCTCTTTTTAGCTGAATAACTCAAAGGGTTTTTCAGTGGTTTTCCCGACAAATGGTGTCACGATGGCTAAACGTCTTATCTGAAAAAAAAACTGGAAAAAATGTAACTGGATTAGTTTTGTGGTTTTTGAGATATTAAGCATTTTGTGGGATGGACAATTTTGCTGTTACACCCGTATGTGCAGTGTTTGGGGTGGGGAAGAAATATTCGTAAACATACAAATTTTAATTTATTGTATTCCCAACTAATAAACATACTTTTCCTATAATTAACTGTATAAAGATGTATAAAAACTAAATATGCATAGAAAACAGAAATTTTTTTTTTTTTTTGGTTTAATAGAAACAAATACCATTTATCCCTTTCAATGAGTGAAAAAAGTATTCGTACAATATTAAAAGTATACATAATCTTCACTTAATACTGATTTAATGTAGAATAGCCTTTATTCACTTCTACAGGAACCAACCTCTTCTTTTAGTTCCCAATTAATGATTTACAAATTTTAGTTGGTATTTTGTTCCATTCTTTTTTGCATTCCGGGGTGTTTTTTGGAGCTCTCGATTGGATTTGAATTTTAAAACAAGGCCACAAATTCTTGATTGGGTTTAAATCTGGCCATTTCAGGATATTTACATTATTTTCAGATTTTTTTTCATTATTTTAGATTTTGCAGTGTGCTTAAGATCATTATCTTGTTGGAAGATCAAATCAAAAGGAAGTTCAACATTTTCAACCGAAATCATTAAATTTACTTCCAAAATATTTTGATATGCTGCGGCTTTCATTCTACCATCTATTACTGATACGTTGCCAGTACCCTTTGCAGAAAAAATATCACCAAACCATGATGCTGCCACCACCAAATTTCACTGTTGGGACTGTGTTCTTTTGCTTGAAGGCATCGCCATCTTTCCTCAAAACATGAATTCTAGAATTACGTCCAAACAACTCAATTTTGATTTCGTCTGTCCATAATATTCTTTTCTAATATGATTTTTCCTTATCCTTATGTTCACGAAAGAATTTCAACGTGGCATCTCTGGGTCTTTTCAATAGCAGTGGAGTTTTCCGAAAGGAATGTACTTTAAATTTTTCCTATGAATTTCGTTGCTTATTGACCGTTTAGTGACACAGATTACGGTTGAAAGCAAATCATCCTGCAACACTTGACGAGTAACCATTGGATTTTGTTTAATATGGAGCATCAATTTCCTCGAAGATCTTGAAGAAAACTTCCGTAGAGCGCCTGTTCTTCTCTCCTTTTTAACAGTTTTAAGTTTTTATACCTTACAATGAATGAACTAATGGTAGTAAATGGAATATTCAATATTCAGGTTGTCTGAGATTTTCTTGTAACTTTTACCTTTATTCCACAACTTAACAATCAGTTCTTTTTGAGAATTTGTGAGTTCCTTACCTCAAGCCATGATGATAAACTTCTTGCACGAATATCATTTACAGAATGTTCTGTTTGTATTTTTTTAGGCTAAAAATAACTACTGATAACATTATTGGAACATTCGAGAATATTCCGCTTGAATAATCTAGAGTATTAAAGCAATTTAAAAGTTTTAAAACCTGAAATTTGGATTGTAAGAATATTTTTCACCCATTAAAATGGAAAAATGAGATTTATTTCTTTTAATTTTTTTGTTTTCTATGCATTTGTGTACAGTCAATTATATGAAAAGTATATTTATTCATTACTAGGAAATACAATAAATTTAAAATGTGTACGAATATGTTTTTCTTCCACTCCCCCTCTCCCTCCCCCTCTCTCTCCATATATATATATATATATATATATATATATATATATATATAATAGCTGGCCACTCGTATTCAAGGATACCGGTCTACTAGGGCGGCTAGCCAATCCCTATTGCAGATGCTCGCTCAGGCACATTTGGGTTTGCTCAAAACCTACAGACCCCACCTGTGGTTTATACTGCAACCTTATTTACACTTTCTGGGAGAGAGCGTGTTATATAGCGTGATCAAGAATTTGAACAAGGCCAGCACGCTCAAGCCCTCGACCACGATGACTTGCGGCTTAGTGCTAGCTATCGACGGCACACAAGAGTTCAACCTACCTAATTTCACTCACAATTTGGGTCAACCCTTGGCATAGTTTTTAGGCACTTTCCAAAGGTGCTTCGACCTCGATCCAGTCCGATAACATCTTCCTGGCAAATCGACCATGGTGAGATTCGAACCCGACTCAGGGTCAAAAGTTTCTAACCACCCTATATATATTTCGACGTCTATGTAGATGCTTTACTTTCCATCATGGAGAATAAACCCAAGATTTCGACAGATGAGATCACTAAAAGTATGAAAGTCTCTATCTCAAAACGATTCCGCCATTTGAAGAAACTTCCGTTCAAGAAAAACAGTCGATTCTAACGAACCTAAAAAAAAAACTCAACCTCAATATAATCTTATATGTCATTCATTTGTGATGGATTGGTTGTATATATATATATATATATATTATATATACCCCCTCTAACCATCACCTCATTCCCCAAGTGAGAGATAATCGTATGCTTTCGGCCATGGAAATCAGAAAAAAAATTCTTCAAAGTCGCCGTAATTGTATCAAAGAACTATTGAAACGAGGTCAGTCTACACTGTCCATAAAGTTTCCAGATCACTGCTACACTACCACACTGACCAGTTACCTTACGAGGAACAGTGTAAGGTTTACCAATTCTGTTACCCCATTCCTATTACCTCCTTTCCCTTCTAATATATTTGAACGTCAGTTAAAAATCGGTGATAAAAAGTTCTATAGCTGCCAAATTAGTTATCTGAATGTTCATTCTTCAAATTGACTGGAAATCAGAACCACGATTTTTTTTTTTTTTTTTTTTTTAAATAGGAATAGAAAGGCTTTCCTATTGACAGGTGCATATTCCTTCCCGTTCTCATGGATAGAAGTAGAGGCTCATACTTTTTTTTTTCCTGTTTAGGAACGAGTTCCCGGTTACTTCCCTTTTCTCTGGCATTAATAGTGATGCTGTCATTAATTTTTGTGATATGTGTGGATGGTGGCAACGTCTCTTCATACTGAGGGTAGCGGGTTGGCAGTTTTTTGTTTGATGTTCCTGACCGGTAGTTAGGAGCCCGAACTCACGCATAGTGTCTTAAGAGTCTGCTCTTATCAACAGTTGCATAATATCAGGGTTCTTGCAGTGCCATGTCGCTTGGAAGGGTGTGCCTACAACCACCTCTCGTGAACAACCCCGAGGTTACACAATGCTGAAGTGTGTGTCTGTTCCCTTCCTGCACATGTTACATTTGACGGTCGACTGCTAATACTGGCCTAGGCCTTTCCTTATTAAAACAACACACCATGACTGGTATCATGATATAGGATATCAAAGATATAAATCTAAACTAGCTAAGCAGAAATTATCTAAACCCATCAACCTTTTTTCTCCAACATTTGTGCTATTCGTATCAACTTCTGCTGTGTGAAATCCTTCCTCTTCGAAAAGTCCCTGTATATCTTAGCTCTCTGTGAAACTAATCTTAACTCTTCAATCTCCTCCCCTGATTTCTCGATTCCTAGCCATCTTCCTCTATTTAGGAAAGACTCTAAGATCCACGTGCGTGGCTTGGGAGTAAACATCTCGTGCTGACTAGGGAACTCTCTCTTGAATCTTCACACCAATCTTACATGTGTCTCTGTCTTTCTCTACTGTTAAGTCAGTTATCTTTTCTTTCTCTACCGTCCCCTTCCTCTCATGACTGTTGCGTGCTAGACAGTTTTTTTTCTGATAATATAGACATGGACATCTCCCTACACCCGTCTGTAAATATATTTGTGTTTGCTAATTTTATGCCCACCATGCAAGATGGCTAAAACACACTGTCACTGACACTGGTGGGACCCAAACCCATAATTCCTCAAACACCCAGTCTCTCACACAAATGGTCGATGTACCCATGCATTTTCCCAGTAACCCTGATGAACACACTTCTCTTCTACATTTTATCTCTATCCCGGAATCATGTCGTACTTTGCAGCTCTGCCCTCTTAGCAACTCTGATCATGCGGTAGTGTCTGTAAAAATTTCTTTCTGCTTCCCTACCAGCCAAGAACCTCATACCAACGGAACGTCTTTCTGTTATCAACGCGCGGATTGGGACTTGTTCCGTGGCTTC